AGTGAGTCAGGGATAGCCTGAACTACATAGCAAGACCAGCCTCAAGCCCCTCCCCCTCTCCAAAAAGTTTCTTCTCTGGAGAACCTGAGCAAGTTTTGATAGGATGGCCTAGACCTGATGTCTGCCTGAGGAGTAGGAGATACAAAAGGACAGTCACCATGGAGCTCCACACCACTGTATTCTTTCACAATGTACTCCCACACTGTAGAGTGACTTCTTTTCTTACTTTCATTTGGCCCAAACTCACTCTGCAGAGCTTAGGTTTTTTTCTCACTACCTTTTGTAGCTGCCTTGATCAATTCTTTGCTCAGGACAGAAAGAACCTAGAAACTACTTATAGAAGGAGACTCTAGCACCCCAAAATCTGCTAACAAAAGGTCATCCCCCTTAAAATAAGATCCAGAATTTCAAAACATGATATCCAAATGTCAAGACTTCAGTTTAAAAAACAATTCTCATAGCAAATATCAGGAATACTTTATCTGAAATAAAGCAATAAACAACATCAGTAAGGTGACCCAAATTTCAACAACAACAAAAAAAAGTCACGAGTGACTAGAGATACAGCTCAGTGGGTAAAGCATTTGGCTACAAAGCATACAGCCCTAGGTTCAGACTCCAGCAGAGAGAGTTACAGAGTAGATCTAAAATATCCCCCACAAGCCTCATGCATTCAAAAAGGACAATACCCGGACGTGGACCCACAGATGAGTTCACAGCTGAATGTGCTGCTCGCAGGAAGTGGCCACTGAGAATCATTCCTTAAGGGAAGGCTTATTTCTTGCTCTCGCTTTCTTTCTCCTTCTTGGCTGCCCTAGGCTGAGCAGCTTTCCTCCATCAGGCTATTTCTGTTTTGGAGCCAAATGACAAACTGAACTCTCTGAAACCATGAACCAAAATAAACCTCTTCTTAAACTGTAAGTATCAGTTATTTTACCCCAGCAATGGAACTGACTATTAAAGAGTCACACAGAAGAAGATATCTGGGGCCAGGGATTTAGCTCAGTGGCACCACACCTGCCTCGCAAGTACAAGTTCCTGAGTTGGTCCCCGGTACCAAAAACAGAAAAAGATGGTATCTGCCACAAATTAGTATCCACCGAATACAAAGAGCTCATAAAGCATCATTAAAAAGATCTACAAATGAAACATAAATAAGCAAAGACATGAACAGGCCAAGAATGATACCCAACCTTACCTCTGTCAGAGAAATAAAAATTTTAAAAATCATCTTTCATTAGATTGGAACAAAATGCAGTCTAATAATACTAGCTGCTGTGAAGGGGTAGGTGGAAGCAGACCTCTCATGCACGGCTGATGGGATGCAAATCAGTACAAGCATTTGGAAACAATCTGACAATACCTAATAAGGATGAAGGGGAACCTATCCTATAATGAAACAATTCCATTTCTGATTATTACCTTTGAGAAATGGCACAAGTATACAAGAAAAAATTCATTACATTATGTACAACAGAAAAATTGGAAAATGCCCTTTACATTCATCTTAGAGTTCTGATCTAGATCTGTATATACTAAACTGATAAATCTTTAAAATAACAGAGGGTTTTTAAGATAATGCAGAAAGTTAGTATAATCATTTCAGAAATGCTTATGCTCCTGAAGCAATGTATTATATCTTTGTATATATAATTTTAAAGATTAAAAAGTGGACTAGAAACCTACTAGAATATACCCACCAGGGGAGGAAGAGTTGGGTAGAGAAGAAGGAACGGAATGCTGGGACTCACCTGTAAGGCAGGATGCGCTGTCCTGTCACCTAATGACAAGGATCAATTCTGAGAAATGCATCGTTAGATGTCATAGTTGTACAGACACCAAATAGTACTTACATAGACTAAATCAACTACACCATCCATCCCTAGGCAATGTAACTACAGGATCAGAGAAACAAGTAATCTGTTGCTGACCAAAACGCTGCTACACACCATATGACCATGCTTACTGACTCTGACAGGTTTGAAACATTGCTAACATGTTCATTCCAGGACTGAGTCTATGGAATGTTTTAATATTTTCTTTCACTTTTTTATTTTGCAAAAATCAAAATTTTAAGGTTCTATTTAATAAAACTCAAGAGCACATCAGGGCTCAACCTCCTTCTACAGTCTAGCCCTCTGCCCTGAACATTAAGCCTTGCCTTCCACTGCCTACTGGGTCTCTGAACCTGAATCTGTAACACCCAATGTCCACAAAGTTATTTCTCCTGACCACTTTTTGCTATTCCTTTGTCCTCTTCCTCCTCAGCCTGAAAATATTCAATGATTGCCAAGAGTCTACACTAACTTTAAAAAGAAGAAAAAAAAAAAAGTAGGAAAAACTTTCTTCAAACAACTGAGGGGGGAGCAGGGATTTAGCTCAGTGGTGCAGCTGCCTGCCTCACAAGCACAAGGTCCCAAGTTTGATTCCCAATACCAAATTAAAAAAAAAAAAAAAAAATTGAGGGGACCAGGGATTTAGCCCAGTGGCACCATGCCTGCCTCGCAAGCACAAGGTCCTGAGTTCAATTCCCAGTACCAATCTAAAAAAAAAAAAAAAAAATTGAGGGGACCAGGGATTTAGCCCAGTGGCACCATGCCTGCCTCGCAAGCACAAGGTCCTGAGTTCAATTCCCAGTACCAATCTAAAAAAAAAAAAAAACTGAGCAAATTCTGCACAGCTTAAACCAACCAGACAAAGCAAAGCCCAGAGTAGACTTAGGACCAGTCTAGTTCTAGAGCTCCGGCCCCAGAGGGAGGCCCTCAAAACATCCTATTGTGAAACAACCTAATGTGAAAAATGCAAGTAAAACCCCTTAGGAAAGACACTCCAAGTCTGCCACCCAGCCCTTCTCCACCCTGCCAACCGTCCTTTCCCGTCCACTGGAAGCTGTGACTTCCAAGATCACAGGACTCCAGCTTCACTACCCACTGTCCTGCCCCTGGCCCCAGTACACACCCACAAGCATGAGCAAAGGCTTTTCTCTTCCCCCTCCACCTCCCTGCCAGGACTGAATCCATGCATCGTGTATGCCAGGTAAATGCTCTACCCTTGAGCTACACCTCCAGCCCAGCTTTTCTTTTTTGATACCACATTGGTACTTAGTCTAGAATTTATCTATAAAGAGGAAAATAGTTCCACTCTCCAGCACCAGGACCAGTAGCAGGCCAATCATCCCAGGTAACCAAGGCTATCCTCACTTCTGCCCAAATACCTAACTTTTTCTTCTAGTATCCCTGTATCTCTTATAGCTACCACAGCAACACTGTGACTGTTCTTTTACTCCTACCTCTTTGACATTTTTATTGTCTTCTAGCTCCTGCTGTTACCAAAGCTCTGACAGCCCTAGTCTATGAGCTCACCTGTCTTTTGACACTGAATGAAATCCTGCTAATAAATTACTTCAATTCTCCTGTTAATGATGACAGGTTAAATGGTGCAGCCAACTGAATGCTGCTGACAGTCTAACTGGCAGGACATTAAAGAAAAAGGCATACGGTCAGTCTTTCTTAGTTGATGCACTTAACAATCTCATCTTATGCTCTGAAAAGTCAGAAAGTCCAATTGCTCAACTCAGCATGGAATCATCAAGTTCTGGATATTCACATTAATAAAATTCACAAAAGACTAATTCATTATACAAAATGTGAATTGGACAGAACTATGTTCCCTAGAAAACTCATATGCTGACACCTTAAGTCCCAATGTGACTTACTTGGAGACAGAACTTTTAGGCGGGTAATCAAAGTGAAATGAGGTCCTAAGGGTACAGGGCCCTAACCCTACAGAAGTGGTGGCCTTAGAAGATGTGCCACAGAACTCCTCACCTCCCAACATGTTCACACAGGGAAAGGATTGGCAAGGCACCCACTGAGCAAGCCTAGAAAGAGACCTCACCAGACACCAATCACAATAGCATTTCGAACTTGGACTCTGAGTTTCCAGAAACAGTTCTGGATAAAATAAAGTCTGTTATTTAAGTCATCCATGCTGTGATATTTTGTTATGGCAGCACAAGCAGACAAATACTCCAACTTACGAATTTTAAATGAGGACACAACAGACTAATAAACCCTATGTGGCATCCAAATGTTTGACGGAAAAATCAAAATCATGGTCAGTTATCCAGCAAGCAAGGAATTAGAACAAGGCAATGTAAATGTTCTCAAGGAGTCTGGATAGCCTTGCTAGTGATTCCAACACTCACATTCAGCAAAACAAGGATTCAGCCTTCTCTTGGGTAAATGCTATCAAGCCACTTCCATCCTGTACCACTGAACTCCTAGCCACTGACAGATTCCAAAACCCCAGCTTCCCTCTTGATGGAGATATCTTACTTACTCTTGGGCAAACTGTCCCCAAATAACCCAGGATCAGATAGCTGCTAAGAATTCCACACAAAAACACCTTTCCTGACCCTGGGAGACTCCTGTGGAAAATAACATAAGGCTAGAATGAACTTGTGCCAAAACGTGAAATCCTTCTTTTGAGCTTATCCCTTTCTAAAGACTAAAATTAAAAAAAAAACAGAACACTAAACACAACAAAAGCAGTCAACAAATCTCTCATTTCCACCAATTTTTTTTTAATTTCAATATAGTGAACAGCAGCACAATAGCTACTCAGTCCATGGAGCTGCTAAGCCAACAAAACTATTCTTACTTAAAACTGGGCCTCAAAGAACCAGATAATACTTTTTCAGGGCAGTTTAGGCATTTATGATTGAATGAAAACCCCAACAGTCACCCCAGGATGAAACTCCAATAACAGTGACAAAAAACAGTATCAAAGGGGAACCAAAGGACTAGAATACTTGCAGGATTTTAGGTTGCAACTACTGTACCAGCTCCTAATACTTAAGAACTGGGTATCAAAACAAATAATCTTTCCAAGTAACGCGGACAATCAACATACCTTGAAAAACAGAATTGGAACACTTAGAAATAAGAATGCTGAGAAACACAAGCCTTTAGAAAGCAGAGCATAAGAGCTTTACTTACATGAGGGGATAATGAACTGTGGCTCAGTGTTGCCTGCGTAGCCAAGCTTGGTATACCTAAAAGCACAAAGTCATCAACACATGTTTAGATCACAATGCTCTCCGCAAGATCCCATTCACGTCTTTATTAATAATCTCTCCAAGTCCTAAAATATACACCCTTGAAATTTAAAAATAACTGTGATCACTGAAAATCAAACACTAATTTCAAAAAAAGTAGTTTATAAAACTTAAAATGAGTCAGGCATGGTGGCACACGCTTGCAATCCCAGCACTCAGGAGGCTGAGGCAGGAGGATCACTGTGAGTTCGAGACCAGCCTAGGCTACATAGTGAGTTCCAGGTCAGTCTCAACTACATAGTGAGACCCTGTCTCAAAAAAATCAAAAAAAAATTAAAATGTTTCTATTAGAACAATAAAAATACATAAACACTAACATAAAAATTACATTTGAGTATCCCTAATTACTTTTAAAGTGCTTTCATATTTTTAATCTTTATAAAAGCCCTAAGAAAGTAGATACTATTCCTATTTTGCAGATGAGAAAACTGAGTCACTGAGAAATAAGCTGCCCAAGACTAAACTGCTAACGAACTACTGAAAAAGAAATGACATCTAAATACACAGGCCAACTCCACCACTGGTTCTGTAGGAAGTACACTAATTTCCCCAACTTCCTGAACTTTTTTGGGGGAGAGGTGGGTTATATAATTTTCTTAAAATGTCATGGCATATGTCTAAAAACAGTTGCTGCCATCTCCTGAGACTCATCTGACAGAAATGTCTCTTTATCATCTTATTTCAGAAGAAGCCCATTTTCTGTCAAGATGTTCTGCATGATAGATTCCAAAAGTCTCTACTAAATAAATGCTGAAATACTACTATCTGTTCCAGAAGCATTTGCTAATCTCTTAAATATGGGAGGGGGAACCCACTCTGACCATCTGCTAAAATGAGAAGTTGAGAGGCAGTAAGTAAACTACAAAGACTCATCAGCTCTTCTGTTCTCATTGAGACTGCTCTAATCAATAGTTTTGCACAACCACTCCATTATGCTGTAAAAATGTGTACAATGAACATTTTCCAGCAGCATAAAAGTAACTTTAACAATTGTTCCTCTACTCAAGATACTTGATACTAATATTTTTTCTTTCTTTCTTTCTTTTTTTTTTTGGTGTTTTGAGGCAAGGTCTATGTAGCCCACACTGGCCTTGAAGTCATGGCAATCCTCCTGCTTCAGCTTCCCTCCCAAGCCATGGGACTATAGGTGTGTACCATCATGCCTGGTGACAATATTTTTGATGTGACAATATTTCTAATTCTAATATGTTAATTGTAAGATCTGTGAATGTATTTTCCCATCTGCCAGTGTATTTTCAAATATAGAGTGAGTAGACAGGACTGGGAAACAAAAAGCTCAACTGGGCTGCCCTGAACCACATCTTGGTGCCTCTCTGAGCTCCAGCCTCTCCCATCCAGGGTCCAGGGCAGGGGCAGGCCCTGATATGCCAGGACCCACAAGGCCAGCCAGCCCCCCAAAGCTTCTCCAGTCCACTGAGGGCAGCGCTAGGGACAGAGGACATGACCAAGTACTCACATGACTCAAAGGCTCAATGCCCACACGAAGAATTTTCTAAGCTAACCTGGAACCAGATTGGGGGAGAGCACTCTCCAGAATGAAGACAACAAACACTGAACTCAAAAATTATAGATTTCCTCACTGTACTATCATTCTGGAAGTATACTCCACACAATAAACATAACTAAACCAAATTACTGATTTAAGGCTAAACAAAATTATAAAATTCCAACAAGCAGGCCAGAAATCACTAAAATAATCAAATCCAATTGTAATGGTGTATGTGAGGTTTTATGTTTGTTATGCAGTGCTAGAGAATGAACCCAGGGCTTTCACAATGAGCTACACACAACTCAACCCTTTTTTATTTGTTTTTTTATTTTTTTTAAACTTTTTTTATCAGTACACATTGTTTACATTCATCATAGGAATTTGTACCTATACAAAATATATCTTAATTCTTTTTCCCCCAATTCCCTCCCTTCCCCCTTCAACCCTTCTCCCTCTCCTCTTTCCCAGGTTACTGTGATAACAGACAAGAATCACCACATCTGGTTAAAGAGGCCACCTCACTCACTCACTACCCAAAATAATTATGCACTTGCACTGAAATCATTCAAATGAATCCATCTTCCCACAAAGTGAGAGTGTGAGTTTGGTGACATCAGGAACAGGGTCCTTCATCATAGTTATCTCTGCTCCCTGCCACAGTGCCTTGTATGTGGTGAACAAACTCTTCCCGGATATAGGAAAAGGTAATCATAGCCAAACTCCTGGGAGAAGGGGCAATGTTTGAAAGAAGGATGCCAAAAGTCAGGAAAAAAAAATTGATAGAGACCAGAGACTAATATGATCTCTTACTCACAGATGAGAAAACCACTGACGATGTGAAAGGGGTTTAAAAATAAATATGGAAAATGTTAATCTTTATTACAAATCAGATGCTAAGTATCATTCATGTCTGCTGTTTCTTTTCTTTTTTTGGTTTTTTGGTTTTTTTGATACAGGGTCTTGCTGCATAGTTCAGCCTGGCCCTGAACTGTGTAGCCCAGGCCAGCCTAAAACTCATAGCAACCCTCGTGCCCCAGCCTCCCCAGTACTGGGATTATAGGCATGTGCTAAAAGGCCTGGCAGTTTGCTATGTTATTTTTCCCCTCTCCAGTAACTACACACTCAGGTCCTTGCACTTGTGAGGCAAGTGTCACACCAGTGAGCTAAATCCCCAGCCCTGCTAAATTATTTTTTGTACTGAGTTTTTATTAAGACATTTCATTTGGCAGGGTTCCAATCCATCCCACTTAGCTGTTTGCTAGTGACTTTCTCCATCTGTAAAATGGGGATGATTATACAGTCTACCTCGTGGGGCACAATAATGGAATGAGCTAATATATATTAAAACAACAGAACAATGATGTCTATATACATTTCCATTATTATTTTACTGTTATTCTTCTGTATGTTTAAATATTTCCTTATTAAAATCTGTAAAAGATTTTTTGGGATTTTTGTTTTTTGTTTTTTGTTTTCTAGCCAATATGGTGGTACACACCCGTAATACTAGCATTCAGGATGCTGAAGCAGGATGATCACAACTCATGGCCTGCCAGGGCAACTTAGGGAGACCCTGTCCAAAAATAAAAGTAAATAAAAAGAACTGGGGGTATAGCTCAGTGGTAGAGTGACTCTGGGTACGATCTCCAGTAAAAAAAAATAAATTAAAAAAAAAAAAAGCAGGAGGAGGAAGAGGAGGAGAAAGAAGGAGAAAAAGAAATTCGCCTATTACAAACATGACTTCAAATTGAGTTTTTCCATTGTTGCCTATTCTACATTTTTTTGGAAGGCAAGTTTATTTTTTTTGTAAAACATTTATTGGTACATTTGTACCTGTATATGATATAATTTGCTTCTCCCCACCCCCATTCCTACCTCTCCCTTATTTGGCAGGCAAGCTTAAAAGCATTTGGGTAGGCAACCAGAAAGAACCAGCCATATCTGTGAAAATCCCTGATTCCTAGCCCAGTGCAAGGCTCATAAATGGAAGCGTTCAGAGAAGCCTACATCTGTGTGTTTAATAAGCCCTGCCCTTCCCCAAGTGGTTCTAATGGTCACAGTGGACATCACAGTCCTGACCTATATATATCACAGGCCATCACCATGGCATCTTCATGCAGTGAAATCTCCCCAACCTCATGTTCACATCCTGACAAATCACCCACTATTCACCACATTCACCAAATAAAACACATCTAGATGTTGACATTTAATACCGACCAGAAGCTTAGAAGAAAGGACTCAAATGTATCAGCTCTGTCTTATCATGTAAAATAATGTATCTGGGACATGGTGGTGCACACCTGTAATCCCAGTACTCAGGAAGCTGAGGCAGGAGTATCACTGCAAGTTTGAGGCCAGCCTCGGCTACTCAGTGAGTTCAAGGCTAGCCTGAACTGCTTAGTAAGACTCTATTTCAAAGAACCAAAATAATAATAAGAATAAGAATAAGAATAATAAATTTAAAAGTAAAAATAGAATAATGTGAAATTTAGAAATTCCATGAAAAATGCTTTTTGATTCAAATTATGCAATTTAGTAGGTGTAGCAAAAAAAAAAAAGTCTAAGCTCAATTTGTAGTGAAAAGAACCTAAGCTCTAAACAGAAGCATCTAATCTTTTCATGATGCTGGGGTGGGGGAGAATCTCTCAAACCAAATGATAATGAAATTCTAGCAGCATCTCTACTAAAATCAGAAGTAATCCAAGGCGATCCCACTAGCATTGCCCTCATTTAACACTATTTTAGAATTTAACATTGTTTGGGTATCACAAATCACAAAGATTAAATAAAAGGAATACATACTATAGAAGATGAGTCAAAATATATTTATAAATGATATACCTAGAATATCTGAGGAAAATTATGTAAAAAACTAAAAGCAATACGGAATTCAGTAACATGACTACAACAAGAACATAGAAAAGTCAACATGTAAGAGGCCCACACAGTGGTGCATGCTTGTAATCTCAACACTTTTGGAGGCTGAGACAGGAGAATCACAAGTTCAAACCCTGCCTGGGCAACTTAGGAGACTCTTTCTCAAATAATAATTAAAAAACAACTGGAGTTACAGATCAGTGTGAATCAACATGTAAAAATGCATACTGGATGAAAAGATACCATTTAGAATGGCAATAACTAAGGAACAATACTATCTTTAAGAATAAACTATATAGGGCCAGGAATTTAGCTCAATGGCACCTTACCTGCCTTGTAAGCCCAAGGTTCTGAGTTCAATCCCTAGTACCCCCCAAAAAATAAATAAATAAACTATATAACCAGGCGTAATGGGGCACACTTGTAATCCCAGCACTTGGGAGGCTAAGGTAGGAGGGGACTGCTGCAAATTCAAGGCCAGACTGAGCTACACAGTAAGACCCTGTCTCCAAACAATCAAAAAAAGAATAAACTGTATGATGCATGT